TCGACTCATTTATTGTCTCAATTAACATTCTTAATTGCTTTACTGAGTGAACGTTTAAGTTTTCGAGCTCAAGAAGGCGATTTAATTTTCGGAAAATATTTTCCGTTTATTTTTTTACCGCTTGTTTAATTGTTTCCAAGCGTCCTCAAATTAGCTAATCCAGCTTTTCCCTGAGGGAAATCTTGAGAAATCGTATACATTTAGATTTGTCACTTCTTCCTTAGTTGGCACATTTTCGATGATCCTTTTCTTCATGTTAAATGTGAATGTTAACATATAAAATTCTATCTCATCTAGAATTTTATTATACCTCCTATAAGTTACATCAGTCATCTCGACTTCTTTAACACTAACTTGTTTTTTCCAATAAAAAATATTTTTTTCAATCCTAATCTCAAAAATGTCCATTTATCTCCATTTATATCTTCTAACTTCTCTTTATAATAACTATTTATCTGCTATATAGCTTCCTCTAACCGGCTACTACCAACTATTTTCCTTTTTTTGGCCATTGTAATACTGTTACTCGGTTCTAACTCAACCTCGACTTTGTCAAATTTTGTAAAGTACTCAAAAGTAAAGCGTTGGAGCTGCAGCAGCTAGGGAAGGTAATCTCGACTTGCCTTTTAATTAGCGCAATTGTTTTACCGAACAACATTTTCAATTTCAATGTAAAAGTGGAGTATTGCAGAGTTCTGCAATAAATGTCAGAATAAATGAAAACAACCCTTAAATTAAGTTCTGGCTAAGGAATGATTTTCATTTTTCGAAGTCTCTGCTTAGGAAACTACTTTGAGTTCTTATTATAAACTTATGTAAGACCTCTCCGTCTCCCTCTCTTTCTCTCTCTCTCCCTCTCTTTCTTACTTTGCTACTTTGAATTCTAATTATATCTTATGTAAGACCTCTCCCTCTCTGTCTCCCTCCCTCTCTCTCTTTCTAGCTCTCTTCCTCTCTCTTTTGGCGGGAGTTCAACCAGTTCAGCGATTGCATTGCTCTTCACGAGAAAGTGGAAGGTTATGTCGATCCGGAGATCAACAATGCGGTCTAAGAGCAAAATACCTAAGGGCAGGCGCTATTCTACAACCGGGGAGCAGTGCGAGTGGCAGCAACGGGCTTCAGTCAAGCAACGATGCAATCTTGCTGCTATTTGAGCGACTTGCTGTAAGTCAGATCACACCGAACATGCCTAATCATGTTGGTGGTGACGTCACGTTAGCGAATTTTCGGAACTCGGTACTCACGGCGAATTCAAATCTGAGCGAATTGCCGACAATTCAAATCAAGCGGTTCTCTGGCAACTACACGGAGTGTCCATCCTTTGAAGACATACATGAAAGAACAATTCATATCAAACAGCATTTGCCCAACACCCAGAAGTTCCATCACTTGAAAACACTTCTCGTTGATGAGGCTGCAAACTTGGTTCGACACTTGGCAAATACGGACAAGGCTTACAACACTGCATGGGAAAGTCTTAAGGAAAGATAAAATCGTCCGCGGCAAATTGTAAACGGGTTTCTGGAGCAGTTTTTGAACCTGCCATTGATGCAACAGTTCAACGGAAGGATTCGGACGGAGCCAACGAAATTGTTCGTGGAATGTTTGCGGTGAATCAGACGGGATGCGATGTTGGATCATATATCTAGCCCTAGAAAAACATGACGCTGACAAGCGACGCACGTGGATTGCGCAGCATGGAGACAGATTCACCGACTCTGGAGGAATTCTTTAAGTTTCTCGATTCTCGCTGCGAAGAACTGGAGCTGAGCAAAAGAGAGCTTGCGACTGGAAGCAAGACAACAACACATCCTAAAAAACCAAAAAGGATCACACAATCGATGGTTGCGGTTGAAAGTAGTGGCTGCACCAAAGGTAGTTCTGCAGAACACACTCTATATGGCTGTCAGCAGTTTCTGGATATGTCTGGAGTGCAGAGGCGATCATTTGTGAAGGAGGAGAAATCACTATGCTACAACTGCTTGCTACCTGGTCATTGGGTCAACAGGTGCAAGTCAACATACAAATGCAAGCAATGCAAAGGAAATAATGACTTCCTTCTTCATGACCAACTGAATCCACAGTCAAGTGGGAAACGGAGGGGGACGAGCAAAACTTAAGCGCGTCTAACAACAACTCAGTGACACTCAGTCATTTGGCCCGAAAAACGGGCTTCGAAACCAACTGCTATGGTGTATGTTAAAAACGCAAAGGGTGATCACGTAACATGCCGTCTCCTATTGGACACAAGACCAGAGCTGTTTCATGCATCTGAGCGTTGCATCCAAGCTCTCGGATTGACATGGTCGGCATCACGCAGACACGGCAAGGAAATGCAGCACGCTGCAAAGCCTCGCATATCCAATGATCGTTTGGTTGTCTATGCAGTAGGCAGAATCATCTCATCTCTGGAACGCCAAAATATCGACGCATCGACACTCGAGGTATTTAAGGATCTGCAGTTGGAGAATACACATTTTAATGCAAACACACCAGTTGATATACTATTAGGTCAGTGTTCACAGGACAAAAGATGTACGACAACAGCCATTCTATGTGAGCATGTATTTTAAACTGTCTATTTTTATGTCGTCTTTTTCCATGTCCGCGATTTCGTTTACTTGCCCACATCGGTTTAGGGCTCCGCGCGTAACAAGCATTGCTTGGTGTCGTAAGGGCCACTTGTTTGTACTGACCATAGTGCATCAACGTCCAAGAATACGTCCAAGAACAAGGGTAATCTTATCGCTATTTTGTCGGTAAACGGATGGGTAATAGCTTCACTCACCAAATCGAACGCAAGCAACGCTATTGCACTAACCACAACAATGGATATCGACTACAAGCTTCAGAAGTTTTGGGAACTGGAGATCGTTCAAAGCAACGAAAAGGTCGATTGTTTTTTCGTCTCCGGTTCACGCAATTGTTGCTGATCGACGAGCAGACTTGCAGAATGGCACCCAGGAAGGACAAATTTCAGAAGGATGAGGTCCAGGTCCAGCTGGGTCCCTACGTTGGCGACGGAGAGATCGTTCACATCTACGCCAGCTTCAACGACACTTTTGTCCACGATACGGATCTGTCCGGCCGTTAGACCATCGCCCGTGTCACCGGAGGCATAAATGTGAAGGCTGATCGTGATGAGGCTTCGCTCTACGCCGCTATGTTGGCCGCCCAGGACGTGGCTGAGATGTGCAAGCTGCTGGGAATCACCGCTCTGCGCGCCACCGGCGGCAACAAGACCAAGATCCGGTGCCCAGTCCGCTCTGCGTGCTTTGGCCCTTTCGTCCATGAAGATCGGCCGCGTCGAGGACGTCACCCGCATCCCATCGGACTCCACCCGCAGGAAGGGCGGTCGCCGTGGTCGTCGTCTTTAAAAATGTGCACCACCCGGTTCTGACGCTGCGATTTTTCAAAAACTCTGGCTCTTAAACTTGGATTGTGATGACCCGCTCCCAACTAAACTAGCGGACAACTGGCTGAAGTGGATAGCAGATCTAGACACTTTACAAAGGTTCCAATTACCACGTACGCAGTCAATATCGAGCTCCACGGATTTTCGGATGCTTCAACCAGGGCGTATGCGGCTGTGATGTATAGCGGTGTCTCTTGTGGCTGCGAAAACCGGGGTGGCTTTACTGAAACAACAATCCTTGCCTCGCCTGGAACTTTGCGCAGAACTTTTTCTAAGCCATCTTATTCGCTCGACTTCTTCTGGATTACGCCACAAGAACACAGCTGTTTTTGCCTGGTCAGAGTCATCAACAGTGCTCTGCTGGTTATCCTATGCACCAGCCCAACTAAAGACTTTTGTCGGAAACAGAACCTCGGAAATCCTTGACACAATTCCTAGTAGTTTTTTACGAAAAAGGAAAGAAATCCCGCACAAGCAATGAAAATATTTTGAGTGCAAATTTAATAAGTGTGGGTGAAAGTGACACTACACCTGAGATCACATTTTTGGGATCAATTTAATCCTAATAAGTGTCAAAAGTATGTCATTGTATGAAAAATCTTATTTGACCTTGGTGTCATTTTGTCATTTTGGCAACAGCCGTGGACACTTCGATATCGATAAAAGCTTTTTGATTGTTCAAATTTCTGTTATCATGGCATTTGAACTTCACACCCGCGGGAAACGTTGTGCGATAGACCAATGGATAAGGTGTCTGTCTCTGATGCGAAAGGTCTTCGGTTCAAGTACGCGCCGATGCAGAGTATGCTGTACGATTTTTTAAAATAATATATAACATTTCTTTATTGTTGTAGTTGTATTAAAAACGTTTTTAGATTTCAAATGCAAATAATTAATTTGTCACGAACGCGACTCGAATAAATTTTCGTCCCAAAAGTTGATATCAGAACTTTAGTTTGTTGAAGGTGAGATCGTCACTAGATTTTTACCTTGTTAATTTTTTTTTTTTCTATCAAAAGTTTTTGTTTTAAAAATCAATCTTATAATTCACATGCCTAATCCCAGTATTGTAGCTCTTATAGTTTCCGAGATCTCAGCGTTCATTCGGACAGACGGATATGGCTAGATCGACTCGCCTAGTGGTCCTGATCAACAATATATATAATTAATGGGGTCGGAAACGCATCCTACATACTGTCCGACGAATCTAGTATACCCTCTTACTCTACGAGTAACGGGTATATTAATTACGAAGGAAGACAGGGGCTAGGCGGGTTTGAGGGTTATGGACATTTGTTTGCGTTACAGTGCATGCTAAATCCCACATTCGTTGCGGAAACGCGGCCTTCTATCTGTTACATACTTTCCGACAAATCTTACACACCGTTTTACTCTAGGAGTTAGTAGCGGGTACAAATAGTAAGTTGAAAATAATTTTGGTAAGAACGTGACAGAAGTAATATAATTTAAAATGATTCTTAACTTCAACATTTTATACATATTTTTAGACATAAGAGCGAGTACAGTCTTAAGGATTCTTGGATTTGTAATCAATAATTTTTATAAAGATATATATTAAAATTACCTTTGCATTGCTGTTGGTTGCAAATTAATGGTAGTCAATATTAAAGGAATGAATTCGGAAACTTCTTGATGTACTGCATTTTTATATATTTGATACATAAGTACAACAATTATTGGGAGCTCCTGCAAAACCTTCAATGACAACATTCCGCGAGGAAGAAGGTTATACTGAAAATAAAAGAAAATATTTATTTATTTAATATATATCAAGAAACGCTGTAGTCGAGTGCTTTGACTATCAAATACCATGTGAAAGCCTATTTATCTTAATTAGTCATAATAAATAATAATTGATCTGTTAAATCAATTTCATACCTTACCTTACCTTCAAGAATGTGGGCGCTAGACAGGATTTAGAGGTTTAAGGTGTTACAGAGGGCGTTGCACCCTGGTAAAATAAACTTGCGCTGCGCAAGAAGCTCCAGAATAGACGGAATAGATAGAATGGACAGACTAGACGAGTCGATCTAGCCATTTCCCTAGTCTCTCAGTTTTAAAGCTATCGGGCTGAAACTTCCAAAAGTCTTCTTTCTTTTGCAGGTGGTATTTAATTCGGAACCAGCCGGATCGGACAACTAAATCTTATAGCTAACATAGGAATAATCGGAAAAAAAATTATATCTTTAGTGTTTTTAAACATATAACCTCCTAGGCTTGGAAATGGCATTTTTGATTAGATCTGAATTTTGAATTTAATTTTATAAAAATCGGACGATTATATCATATAGCTGATATAGGAACGATCGGAAAATTACGATCGGAAAACAATATGAAACAAATTATAGCTTTGCTGTTTTTTGACATATTATCTTTTGAGAATATAATTTTTTGTATTTTTAAGAATTTCGATTTAAATTTTATAATTATAACTGCAAGGGTATACAAACTTCGGCTTGCCGAAGTTAACTTCCTTTCTTGTTTACTGTTCAGGCCCACTGTCCGGCGAATCTGGACTGGCCCCGCTATCCAGCTGCACCAGCTGCACCGCTCTACCGCTCTCCCGCTCTCCCGCTCTCTCGCGCTCCCGCTCTCCTGCACTGTTCCTAGCTCCCGCCATGAAGTCTCCGCTGCGCTTTGGAGCGCAGAGCGGAGCTTAGACTAAGTCAGTTCGATTTCTGAAGTTCACTAGAATAAACCGCGGTCGTACCCCCGCCTACTTTTACCCAGTTAACTTCTTGTGCACATTTATTTCCGACTAAGGGGCAAATACGCGTTCGAGTGGTTTCTCCCCTACAGCTTCATCAGCACCAGCAGCAACCCGCACCAGCAGCAAGCCAGCGAAGCCCAGCGAACCAGCCCGCCGACGCCGACCGTTTTCCCGCCGTCACCTCCCACGCCATTCCACCAGCGCCAGCACGGAACCCCGCTGCCCCCCGGCGTACATTTACATAATATTAAATATTTTCCAAAGTTTTAATAAAATTTTCTGGTACTGCTGCTTCTTCTACTAAGTCAAACAACTTAAGAATCTCATCATCTCTCTCGATGGTGATACATACAAAATAGTTCAACATCTCTTGCGGAGTAATAATATCCCGTTTAACTCTTGGCAATTGAAAAGTGATTGATTTTTCAAGATCGTATTCAAAGGCCTTCATCTACGGATCAACAAGATATCATGGCTGATTTTTGTTTACAAATTTTTGGACGTTGATGCACTGCGGTCAGTACGAGCAAGTGGCCCTTCGACACCACGCAATGCTTGTTACGCGCGGGGCCCTTCACCGTTTTGGGCGAGTAAACGAAATCGCGGACAAAGAAAAAGACAATATAACAATAAACAATAAATAATACAGGTCAAAATACGAATAGACAAAATACATAAAGTAAAACTAGTAAGTTGCTAAGTAGGATAGTATTATTGATTTAGAGATAGGCAGTGAGTCGGTAGTATATATTAGGTGATATAGTCTATTATAATCATTGCTAAGTACTCTAAAAGGTTCATGCACTGCATAATTAAAGATACAATGATTTAACACTAGAGGAATATAGTTTCTATTGAATCACACACATTAAAATGCAGGCGACGGAGTAACTCGGGACTCTCCACATCACCATGAATAAGATTTCTAATAAACGTAATACCAACCATAGTTCTACGGTTAGATAATGATGGTAAGGTAATTAGACGTAGTCTCCTAGAACTACTTCTACTACCTTTTGATAAATGCCAGCACGCCCCTGGCTTTGTTTACCATGATATTAATGTGATCAGAAAATTTAAGTTTAGGATCCGTATGGACTCCAAGGTCGTCAGCATGCGTTATCCTATTTAACACACAACCACTCAAAGTATACGTTAAATAGTGAGGGCTGACACGAAAAAGGTCATTAGTTTACACTTCGAACCATTTAAATTTAATTCATTATCCATGCACCATGTTTGAAATCATTGAGATCAGATTGTAAAGCTAAACTTTGTGCGGGATCATTATATTGCAGAAACAACTTAACGTCATCTGAGTACATAAGTACACGTGACTTCTTTAAGACTAAAGGAAGATCATTTATAAATAATTTAAACAGGAGCGGACCAAGATGACTCGGATTAGTGATGAAAAAGAGTTTTTAACAAGGAAGAACGCCATAGTCGAGTACCTCAACTATCAGATATCCGTTACTCAGCTAAAGTGACCAAAGGGAAATGGAGATATGCAAGCGAGATTAAAATGCGCCACCTACCCGTAATCTCAATATATGTGTGCGGTAGACAGATTTAAGCGTTATGGGCGTTAGAGTGGGCGTGGCAAACTTTTTTTTGTATCAATCGATAGGTATTGACGAGACTAATACATTTCAGTTAAAATTTGTTTCTAGCATGGAAGTTGTGGGCGCCACAGGTGGTTTTGGTGGTTTGTGGGCGTTAGGGTGGGCGTGGCATACTTTTTGGATCAATCGATAGGTATTGACGAGACCAATACATTTCAGTTAAAATTTGTTATCTACAATGAAAATTGTGAGCGCCACAGGCTTGGGCGGTTTGTGGGCGTTGGAGTGGGCGTGCCATATTCGCGTAACAAACTTGCGATCCTGAGATCCCATTTCTCTATCTTTGTGGGCGTGGCAAACTTTTTTTGGGTCAATCGATAGGTATTGATGAGAACAATACTTTTCAGTTACAATTTTTATTCTAGCATCAAAACTGTAGGAGCCACAGTTTTGGGCGGTTTGTGGGCGTTAGAGTGGGCGTGGCACATTGCTGAAACAAACCTGCGCTGCGCAGGAAACTCAGGAATCTGCATGCATAATCCCAGTATTGTAGCTCCTATAGTTTCCGAGATCCCAGCGTTCATCCGGACAGAAGGACAGTCGGACAGACGGACATGGCTAGATCGACTCGGCTAGAGATCCTGATCAAGAACATACATACTTTATGGGGTCGGAAACGCTTCCTTCTGCCTGTTACATAATTTCTAGTATACCCTTTTACTCTACGAATAACGGGTATAAAAATTATCCTTTGAGATCCACCATTCAAATAACTTAAGATCCACCTAAGAAGATCAACTGGAAACCCTAAAAGGTCAAATTTCCGGACTAGAATTCGGGTTACTTACAGAATCAAACGCCTTATTGAAATCAGTGTAAGCCACACCAGTCTGACGATTTTTTCTAAAATCACTTATTACAAATGAAGTAAACTCCAAAAGGTTGGTTGTCGTTGACCTACGTTTTAAAAATCCGTTTTCACAAGAGGAAATAAGGGACCTACAACTGTGTTGCAAATGCGTAATAATGTTCTCAAAGAGCTTCGGTATAGCTGATAGCTTTGAATTACATCTGTAAATACATGCGTTCAATTTACTCCCCTTTTAATGAAGCGGGATAACAAACGACTCCTTCCATCTATGTGGGAAATCTGACGTTTCTAAGAACAAAGTAAAAAGTTTGTGCAATGGTCTACACAAAGTCTTAGCGCAATACCTAAGCACACATCCAGAGACTCCGTCAGGACCCGGAGTGTAGACTGGTTTGACCCTTTGCAAATCTAAAAGAAGTGAGATTTCATTTATAACAGGACTTAAATAAAGTTTGATTTAGGCATGTCTTATGGGTAAGACTGATCTGGAGGACTTGATGTTAAATAGGTGGTTTGAAAAAACTGTGCACAAAGATCGGCTGTGGCCCGATCAGTCAGTCAGCGACCGAATTTTCAAATTTAAGTGATGATGGGTAACTTGAAGACTTACGCATTGTGTTAACAAAATTATAAAACTGTTTTGGATCCAGTGTAAACTTGGTCTTGCAACGAGCTAAGTAGTTTTTATAACACTGGGCGCTAAGCACGGAAAATCAGACCGAGCACTTATGTATCGGGAAAAGGCAGCTTGTGAACCGGAAGCTCTAAACATTTTTGTAGAGTCTAGACTTTACATTTTGAAGTCGTGGCAACTCTTTGTTAAACCACGGGGGTTGGTTTGAAATTTTAGGATAATACTTAGAAACGCATGTTTCAAAAACTGCGTTTAATATATTATAAAATATATTAACAGCATCAGTTATATTAGTACACAAGTACAGATTAGACCAATCCGAAAGCTATAAGGCTATTGATAAGTGCAAAGTTTGCTCTACGAAAGCAGGGGATGCGTTTAGCTGACTTTTCAGATAGTTGATGCACTTTTGTACCCGTGTCAATAGTCAGCTCTAGCGTTAGGTTATATGGGTCTTCTGGTAAAGTAATTGCATAGGTTCTAGCTATGCAAACACAATCTGGACTGGAAACAAAGCATAGATCCAGTAATAGTCCTAGTAAATTTAAAACATTATTTATATGAGACAATGAAATATCAACCAAACCGTCAAGAAAATCATGCTGCGTTGAAGGTAACAATATATTTGATGTTTCGACGGTGGACCATGTCGCCCTAGGTATATCAAAGTATTAACTATTAACTGATCCCTATCTGATAGTTTACTTGAAATAAACTGGATAGCGGACAGATGATTCGCATATATTGGGAATTCAGATGACGGCGGAATATATGAACATGTTATGTATATAGAAATTGCCGGAAGGGAAATTTAATGTCATATATTTCGTCGGACGTTATTACTTCAGAAGTTAATTCTGAGTCAGCTGCAATTAAAACTGCACCTCCACGCCGGGACGAACGATCAAGCCTGTAATTTGTGTACTTCGGAACTAAGAATTTTCGGTTTTA